TTGTAACGCAATCGCCAACAGCATAATGTCACGTATTAATCGTATTCAACGTCTGGGCCGCCTGTGGTTTCAGCGAAGCGTCCGAAATTTTTGTCCAAAATCTGTCTGAAATGAGACAACAGTGCACGAAAATTAAACATCGAAATAAAACGTCCGGAATTTTAATCAGCGTCCGAAGTTTTTCTAAGTAGTGTGAGTAGTGTAACCGCCGTGAATATTGCTATGTTGGCTCACCGTCTGATTTCTCCTAGAGGTGTCTATGTTAGCGCTAACAAAAGGTTTCACTGCCTCTAGAAACGAGTTGGATTTTGATGAACCTCGATCTTTCAATATAGGTATGAGAAAATTAACCATATTATATCGGTAAATATCTTGTCCATCTTTGAATGGCTAATCCACGGGAGAGCTTTTAATTCATATATGATTTGGCTGTTGTGGTGACTTCAGTTGTTATTACTCGATGTTTCCCGAGTGCAATTTTCGTTGTTTTGTGGTGTCCTTTCACGGCAGTCTTGAAACGTTCGCAGAAAAAATAATCAGTTGCAATTAGTATCTAGGCATTCAAGTTTGGCAAAAAAAGTCACATGTATGGGATTTGTTCGTTCGTAGTTTGAATGTCGCAAAGGACTTCACATGTGCCTGAAATAAAGATGGAGCGCTAGCGCTCAGTATATAAACAAACCAAGAGGGAAAGGTCTCCTGAGATGTTTAAGCAATGGGCTAAATATACCTGTAAGCTTCCTTGTGTTTGTTTGTTTTGTTTGGCGTTGCAGGTAATCGGGCCGATTAAACAATTTTGGAAAATATCCAGTTAAACGATCCTATCTTAAAGGTCAAAGTTTGGGCTGTCAACATTTAGACAAGTGGCACGCGAGTTTTAAAGGAATAGTATTTAAGTTATATTGTAATTAATAGCCTCTTAAACAGTGCGATTAAAATAGCATTGGGTATTTGACGACCTTCTCGAATGTTTATTACGCAAACCGAATCTATTCTTAAATAGGGCATTGATATTTGGAAGAGCTTTAAGATAAGGTTGAACTAGAGTAAGGGTAGTCGCACCCTTCACCCACATTTTTGTGCCGTGCGTCTCCCACGACGTTTTAATCATCTAGATCAGTGTAAACTGACACAGTGCTGACACAGGCGGAACGGCCTGAGGGAACAACGATTTGTTGTATTGGGGTAGTTGTTTCGTCTACCGACGCTTATATCTCTTAGTGACACGCTTCCATTTATTTGCAAATCAGTAAGTCTGGCCCTGATAATTCCGGAAACGATAAACTGTTTCTTTCGATGACCCCTGACAGTATCAAAGCCGGAGCGTAAAGCAAAAGATATCAGAACGCCATCTTGGCTGAAGGGGAAGTATTTGCCGAAATTTTCGTGGAGGTGGGCGACCAGTTGTCGTTGTTGTTGTTGTTCTTTTTTTCTAAGTTTTTGCCTTATTTCAGACCAAAGTTTATCGTTACCCTAATTCAGATTATACGCAAACAATGATCTTTAAATGAGGCATATGGGAAAAATAAATGACCCCAATGAAGCATTAAAGGCTTGCATCTGGGTAAATATGTGAAAAGAGAAGGGCTTTAAAATTCCCTGGGCTTAACATAAAATTTTGGACTGTCTAAGTTAGGAAGGAGGATAAGAGAAAAATAACGTAAATGAACTAAATTCCATTAAATTCCTGTCCAAGGCCTGTTGTCTTCATCACTGTGGAACACTGAAGCATTGCTTTCGCTCGGGGATTTGAATAGCTGCACAGTCGGAAAAAAGGTATGTTAATCTACTAAGCAGTGACAGACGGTCAAACCAACTGACAGACGATCGCATCACTTACAACGAGAAACAAATTGTCAGATATATGCACGCAATGGAGGTAGGTCATAAAATTGATTCAATGAAGAACACATCATACTTTATTGTCGTCTTGTTCCAGAATACTAGATAAGAGTCAACGACGTTTAAAAATAATTATGACTCAGCTCAGTAAAGAAGTGGATTGGCAAAATAAGTCATAAACGTCACATTCTTTTTAATCACACTGTTTTGTTTGTTTGTTTGCTTGTGTTTGTTTTTCTGCCCTCAAGAATAGCGTTTAACACTGATATCTCGTTTTGCAACTCAAGTAACTCAAGACTTGTTAGTTTTTCATTTTGCACAGTACTAACGTAACTGCGTGCAAACAAAATTAAGTACCAAGTAAAAACTGATCTCCGATCTGACAACGACAACATTCACTTCGTAAGGGTCTTTTTCCGGGGGAAGGGGGGGTGGGGGGGGGTTCGGCTTTACGGTTGTTTTGGATATTTTTTTAGTTGCTTCTAGAATCTAGGGCGGCCCATGCTGAATTGTATCAAGCTGCAAGTTATTCAAGTTACCAATAAGTTAAGGTTATTCAAGATAAAAATTAAAATAGGGTAAATTATGGTTTGATAAACTTAGTTCTAGCTACTTAATCATGTCCCTCATTTATTTTTGGTTGACCTTTTCGTTATCGCGAAGCACTAAAGTTGGATATGGACATGCGAAATGTAACTAAACAACGAAAGCTTGATGTGGAGGCATGGGGTCTGCAGACAATTATTTATGAGGTATTTCGGTAACTTCTGTCTTGAATTGCGGTATTGTGGAATATTTCAAACCTGCAAGAACTCATCCCCCAAGTTACAGACTGAAAGATGTTCATTCCATCACGTAATTTAACTGATGGGTAATTTGATCCAACAAATATTTGGGCGGTAAATAGTTCTATGGTCTAGTAAATTTACAATTAGGCTGTTTTAACAACCAGTCAGAGGTCGTGTAATTGTTTTCGCACACAGCTTCGTGTCGTCGTGTGAGTGTCTTCGCACGTGGCCTCGTGTCGTTTTGCCGGTTATGTAAGCTAATTATGATATGGCGGTATTTGCCGCTTTTTTTTTGGAGCGGCTCGGCCCCCGGTAATGCCCCCTTCTTTGATCACGGGAGCAACGGTAGTAAAATCTGCATTTTATCAACAATCTCGTCACATCCATTTGCTTGAGGAAAACAACATACCGGTGAACAAAATTCAGAGAAACGTATATTTATCTATTTGCGTTCCAAGCAGAAACGGCCCTCCACAATTATTCGTAGAACGGACTGTATTTGTTAATAAGGAAAAAGACTTACATTTCGATGACCACAGGCCCTGCTGCATGTGCTGCACATGGATGGTGTGCCGACAGCTCTCTTAACGACTGCTTCCTTCTTTCGAGATCCACTTTGACGCGAATGTAAAGGTGTTGGATCAACATGTACTCGATTGGCGAGCCGTTGCTGATGACTTGTAGCCAGTAAATCTTGTTCAACGGCTGTTAAACGTGAATCTAACCGATGTAAAGAATAGCACATAAAACCAAGTGAACTCAATGTCAAAATTAAATTGAATGAAAGGCCGAAGAGGAGGACGTTGGTGTTATTGCTTTTGCTTTCCATGTTCGTCGATCTGCTTGTAGCTCGCGCAACTAATTTGTTGTCGTATTTGGCACGAGCCGAGCCGGTTATAGTGTCTGTTGGTATTTCCGTTTTATGTTCGCTGTAACAAGAAGACGGATCAGATTCCCAGATAAATTGAACGGTGGCGGCCAGATGTCTAATTAGACGAAGACAATGTGACACTTCGTGAACACCCCTTAATTTGCTTTATTCGTTTGGTTGAAATATCCCACGTACACCGCTGCAGAACAGGGTAGGTTTGTGTTTACAGTGGGCGTGTGTTTATCAGTAAGTGAATAAGCGGCAATTTCCTGAGATGATCAACATCTTCATGTCATGATCTGTTTATAATAAATAAATCAGCGCTGATGGGTAGAGCAATTAAGAATATTAGTAACGGTCGGATAATATTTCCATACGTCTCAGCTCGTCCCTTGATGATGTTATTATATAATTTTTGTGATATTATTCTTTACTTTCAATCAAGGAGAACATCAGAGTTTGACGTTTCTTTTTTTCATCGTAATTTGCATCTTGTATCACGGGTAATGAATTGTGCTTTAGAAGCCAGCGTCCTGACTGATTTTGCAAAGCTGTCGGAAAAAAAAAATACAATTTAAGGGCATAAGATTCTTGAAAAGAACAGAAAAACCGACGACTCGTTCCAAATGTTTACAAAGAACACTTATTGCGGATAAAGTGTTTCAGTAACGTACTACACAAGAAAAAGACTAAATACCACCCTTGATATGATTTAGCAGTTAATACATATAGCGCAATAATGTTATCAAGGGGTCTTTTCATTTTTTCAAAAAAAAAAAAGTTATCCTGCTATCGGTCTCAACTCATTTATCGGAATAGTCAAGAAGACTTTAAGGCCACCGTTAACTGGCCACTGATAAACTCGTCTTGAAACGGGCGACACCGGAAACTGTGATGAAGACTGACTTCTCTCAGCATGCAGCAAACTCCAATCTAAGAGTTCCCAATATTGAAAAGAACGTCACGTGATCGCTTTTTTTTTTTTAACCATCTGTTTTAATGTACGGGATTTCGGAGTCAGGACTTCTGCTCTGGCTCGGCGAAACACACGCTATATCTCAACGTAGCATATTGCAACCGACACGTGTTATCATTGCACAACACGTTGCACGCCGCTTGGCCACATTTTCCAAAAAACAAAGTGTTACGAAATCTCGGACGATTTTAGACATTTTTATAGTGTTGAAAGTTTTTATTATTTTTTTTTTTTTTTCCTTTTTCCTTTTTCTAGATTTTGTAGGATATTGTACTCGTTCGGGCACATTTGTTATCGTGCATCACCGTTGCACTGGAGCATGCGGAAAACCTTCCCACAACAGGGAACCAAGCGTGCTACAACACGTTGAAATGTTGCGTGCGTTTGGCTAGATTCTCAACATCCCACAACCCGGTCAAACGATCTTTCAATTATGTTCCGTTGAACTTTTGGGTCAGTTTTGCTGGGTCTTTTTGATTCAATAGAGCCCGTGAAAATAGCAAATCTCATTTACCGAACTTGGACTGTATTAAAATTTTGCCCTTGGTGAAAAAGCATATCATGTAAGATAATGAATAGAGGTTTTTGTTCGAGTAGAAGACATTACTGCTGAACTTTTACCTTTAATTATTTCAACTATCCTGAGAATTAGCCATACACTCGTTAGTTATAACTTACCAAGGCAGACGTGGGTTTTGTTGTCCCAAAAAGAGCAATAAAACCCCAAGCATCTTTGACACGAAAATATCATTTTCAAGTTTAAAAATAATCGATTTCTCGTACTAGGTCAGTTCGTTCCTTGATCCCAGAGAGATATTTTGCGTTCCTAACTTCCAGTGGTGCGTTTTCGCAATAGGTTGAGTCACGTCCATCAGCTCATGTACCCTCCGCTGTAGACATGACTCTTTAATGAGAAAACGTATTGTTA